TTTATTAAAAAAAATAAATCTATTAAAATTAAACAGAGAAAATATATAATTATTCATTTTGTGTTCAAGAACTTTAGCCTATAATGAAAAACAATAAAAATATCATCAATAAATCATTATACATCTCACATTTTTAAATATAGGACATACAATATGAAACAACTTTTCAAAACCATTGTTATTATTGGTTAAGGTGTCTCTAATATTTTCCTCAATGGACAATGTTTTTCTTTTTGACAAATGGCTTGGAGGCATACCATAAAATTGGAACAACAAAGGGCAATCGTTTTAGAATATTTTTCCTTTAAGCTGTAGAGGGGACGAGGAGCCGTGGATTGAACACTCCAGACCGACACCCCCGCCTCCGGGCAAAAGTTTACTTTTTAACCTCTAATTTTATTAAATTTTTAATTTTTAATCTATCATTTTATAATATGATATTTCTAACTCATCACTTATTAAAATTAAAAAAAATAACTCTTACTTTATAATATTTAATTTTATTAGTTACATATTAATTTTATTAATTAACTGTTAGTTGATTATTAGCTAATAAAAAACTTTTTTTAATTAACAAAATTAATATAATTAATTTATAATATTTTGTTCATTTTGTTAATTAATTATTAATTAATTGATAATTGATAAAAACTTATTTTTAACTAATAAAATTAACAGTTAGTATAAAATAAAAATTATTTTATTTGATTTTAATAAGTGAGGGATTAAAATTTATAAATTTTTTTTGAATAATTTGTAATTATTTACAGGATTAATTGGGGAAGGAGAGAAAGGTACCTCACGTACAATTTACCGAAGATGAACAGTCCTAATCTAGGGTCTAATACCATTGGATCGGAGCGGACTATTCAATTAAAATTTATAAATTTAATAAAATAAATAGTTAAAAATAAATAATAAAAATTAAATAAAAAAAATTTTGATCCTTTTAAAAGTTTTAAAATTTTTTTATTATTTTAAAACAAATCTTAAATTTAAAAACGTCTGCACAGAGACAGTAATATTAATCTCGAGCTGTAACCTACGCGTAGGGAAGTCA